GGTGGGCCAGGGGCTCCTCCGGAACCACCAGCTTCAAGAGCTCCATTAGCAGCGGGGATGGCCGCGCACGGAGCACTCAACCACAACAGGAGCAGCTGTCGCCTTCCTAAAGCTCCCTTTGGAAAGGGCCCTTCTCCCCCGCAGGCTCCAGCACCCCCTGCTCCCCCCCCAGGGAGCTCACGCTCTCATTACCAGCCTTGCCCTGCAGAGGAGCTCGGGTTCCCCCCATTATCAGTGGCACAGAAGGGCCGGGTTACGTGAGATAAGGGAGCAGAGGAAGCGCCGGAGCTGTTTTCCCCCCGGATGGATTGAATCCGGCCCTTTCCCACGGCCGATCCTCTGCTGGGGGGATGTGGGGGCACGGGACACAATTGTTTGCTCCTGGGAATGTGAGGAGGTCCCTGGGTGCTGCCCCAACCCCAACATCCCGGGGCATCACCAGGGAACAAAGCTGGTTCTTAACATGACATCAGCTTTGTGCTGGAGCTCACTGGAGCTGGCAGCAGTGGGGCAGCACAGGCAGCTCCCTCCTGCCCCGGGGATTCCCACCTCCTTGGGTACAGCATCCCCCTGCCTGCCCCGGGGATTCCCACCTCCTTGGGAACAGCATCCCCCTGCCTGCCCCGGCTATTCCCACCTCCCTCCGGAACGGAGCGCCACGGCCCGGGGATTCCCACCTCCTTGGGTACAGCATCCCCCTGCCTGCCCCGGGGATTCCCACCTCCTTGGGTACAGCAACCCCCTGCCTGCCCCAGCTATTCCCACCTCCTTGGGTACAGCATCCCCCTGCCTGCCCCAGCTATTCCCACCTCCTTGGGTACAGCAACCCCCTGCCTGACCCGGGAATTCCCACCTCCTTGGGTACAGCATCCCCCTGCCTGCCCCGGCTATTCCCACCTCCTTGGGAATGGCATCGGTGCCATTCTCTTCCCTGTCCCTGGCCAGCTCCAGCGGTGGGAGCGCAAGCACGCCAGCCAGGCAAGTGTCAATGAGCTCTGTCCGGTCAGGGTCACTCAGGTGGGGCTCCAGGATGCTGATCCCAGGTTAAGGAAGCAACATGGATGCACTGAGCACTACAGGAGAGCTATGGGAACGCCCTTCACCTGGGAAGCAGGGAACAAGGTGCAGCCATTCCAACCAGCTCCAGCACGCCTGGCACAGCCCTGTCAACACACCCACCACGGGACAGCACCATCAGACCCACGGGGTGAAGCAGGGAGGGGGCAGGCTCTGACATTCCCGCAGGGATGGATGCACTGGAAGGATACACCAGGTAAGTGCAGGTGATCATGGCCCGTTGGCGAACTGGCGTCCGCATCGTGTCCTGAGGCTCTGCCTTCATGAACTCCTGAGGGCAGAACAAGGTGAAGGTGATGGCCACATCCAGCGCCATCCCAGGCCAGGCATGGGGAAGGTTTGCTGGGGGCTGCCTGGAAGCCCAGCGAGCCAGCAGCTGTGTTATCCCAACACCTGGAATGCTGCACTACCACCCCCTGCCTTGGGACACGTCCTTGGGGATGGAGCACCATCGCTCTCGGCAAACCATTTCCCTGCTGGGACCTGCCCCCTCTGGAAGGGCAGAGCCCACACCTCAGCTCTGCTGCTCCATGGAAGTCCATGGCTCCAGCAGAGCCCAGCAGACACGTGGGGATGGGGCTCATCAATCAAACTCTTACCCAACCTTCCCACAGCTCCAGGCACGGAGCAGCTACACCTTTGTGTAACCCACAGTGATGTGGACTGGGACCCACAGACCAGCCCCAGGCTCCCTCCAGGGCTTCTCTTACCACCATCTGGGCCACGAGCTCGGCCTTGCGGGAGAAGCTGAAGTCCCCACACTTGCCCCCGTTGCAGATGGCCTGGCTGATCATGCAGATGCTCCGGATGAGGCAGAGCTTCAGCGTCAGGTCCTGAGAGCACAACCCAGGGTGAAGACCAGGCTTCAACACACCAAAACTCATCATCCCACCCTCACTGGGGTCCCTCCATGAAAACCAGTGCCCGGGCTGGGCCTGTGCTCTTGGCAGCGTGTGGGCTCAGCCTCTGCTCTTCATCCCTGTCACAGGCTCCCTGGTGGCTGGGGAGCACCAGGACCCCCCATCCCCAGTGTCACAGGGAGCAGGACACCCCCTGGCAGCACATGGGATGAGGACACTGCTCCAGGGCTCCCTCCTCCCCACCAAAGCAGCCCCTGAGGACACAGATGCTCAGGGCAACTCCAGAAGTTACTAGAGCTCTTCCTCCTGCACAGTTTGGGGTCTAGGACCAGTGACATGGGAGGAGACACCACAACCCAAAGTGCTCCCCTTGTCCCTGCAGGGGGTCAAGGAGCAGGGAAGGGTTTGAGGGGGTCCCAGCTCGGTGCTGGAGATGCAGAAGCAGTTAGTACCAGCAGGAGCCCAGAAGGAAAAGGCATTAGTGGAGCCCAGAGGAGGAGCCCTTGGCCTGAGAGTTCAACCTAAAGGCAATTTTCCTGTTCAGCCTTTGAGAAGAGAAACATAAAAAGGTGCATTTAGATGAGAGCCGAGGTGATTCTGATCCTCTACTGTGCTCTGTGGAGATTCCACTTGGATCCTGTGGGCAGTTCTGGTGTCCCCAATACAAGAGGGATGTGGAGCTGCTGGAGCGAGGCCAGAGGAGGCCCCGGAGCTGCTGCGAGGGCTGGAGCAGCTCTGCTCTGGAGCCAGGCTGAGAGAGCTGGGCTGGGGCAGCTGGAGAAGAGAAGGCTCCTGAAGGGGACACCTTAGAGCAGCTCCAGGGCCTAAAGGGGCTCCAGGAAACCTGGAGAGGGGCTTTGGACAAGGGATGCAGGGATGGGATGAGGAGCAATGGCTCCAACTGGAAGAGGGACAAGTTGGATGGAATCTTGGGATGAAGTTCTTCCTCATGAGGGTGGTGGGATACTGTGAGGGGTTGAAGGGAGAAGCTGTGGCTGCCCCAATCCTGGCAGTGTTCAAGGCCAGGTTGGACACAGGGGCTTGGAGCAACCTGCTCTAGTGGAAGGTGTCCCTGCCCGGGGCAGCGGGTTGGAGCTGGAGGAGCTTTAAGGTCCTTCCAACCCAAACCACTCCCTGACTTGATAATTCAGTCTATGAAAGGCCTTTTTCTCTTCCCCTGCCCCTCTCCTCTGAGTTTGGGCACTTTTGGGCACCAGTCCCACATGGAGGATGGGGGAGCAGCAGCTCCTCCAGCTCTCCAAGTCCCAAGAGGCAGAGAACTGCTGCTGCGAGCACAGCACTGGGGTGCTCCCAGGGAAGCCAGAGCAAGAGGTAGGCAGAAGAGCAGGACAGAGCAGAGAGAAGCTAATTTGGTGCCTCACACTGTACCTTGGTTTCTACTTTTATTCCCAGAACCTGAACAAGTGGAAAGAACAAGACATGTTAGCACTGAAACATGAACATCCTCGTCCTGGGGCTCCCGGGGCAGACGGGCTGTGCCAGCAGCTCACCTTGGTGTTAAAGTACTGGAAGATGTTCTTCAGGATGTCTGCTTCGATCCTGGAGAGCACCAGCTCCTTGGGTGCGTAGACAGCCACGTACCCATAGCACAGGATGAGGGTGCTCTTGATCTTCTCCACTTCATTGTCACTACGGTCCTGCCAGAGCAGATGAGAGTGAAAGGGGGGAACTGGTCTCACAAGGTGTCCCTGGTGCTCCCGGGTCTCATGGGATGGTCTGGCTGACCCAAGGAGGTGTCCCCACAAGACAGGGCCCCTCCAAGCACGTTGTGAACCTTTGCTTCCCATCCAACAGGCACGAGCCCTGTTTGCCATCGAGTGTTACCTGTTAGAGCCCCACATGGGAGCACGTGAGCCCCAGCCTGGCCGTGTTAACCAGGGTAGCTGCTGGTCAACTACCCGGTTAGCTGCTGGTTAACAGCACCCACTGCTGGTTAATAGCACCCACTGCCTGTTACCCAGCCCTGCTGAAAACCTTCACCAGCCCAGGGAGCAATTTGTGGCCAGTACCCATCATACCACAGCCCTAAGGCTGCACAAGAGCTTCCTCAGCCAGCTCTGAGCTCCAGGCTCCTTCCTGTGCTGAGCCAGGGTCCACAGAGCACAAATCCCTCAGAAACCCCATCCCATGGACCAGGAATGAAACCACCCGACTGGGTCAGAGGACCTAGAATCACAGCACACAACGTCCTTGGGCAGCCCATTCCAGGCCTCACCACCCTCACAGCAAAGAACTTCTTCCTTGTATCTAGTACTTGCCAGCTGCTAACTTGCATTTGAGGAAAGGCTTTTGCTGCCAGTGCCTGTGGCACGAAACCATTGGTGAGGAGCTAAAGCTGAGCAGCCGCTGGTGCCAAGAGCAGCTCAAGGGTATCCCAGCTCCATGCCAAGTGCACCGAGGCAGGAAAACAGCTCCTCTCCCAGGGAACACTCAGCACAGGCTGTATCTGAGGCATCCCACAGGAGCCTTCAGCTGCAGGTCAGGTCCCTTTGGGCTCTTACCTTGAAGATACTGAAGAGCCCCACGGATTTCTTGAAGACATCAGACCTGACAAACTCCTCCAGCTTGGCCAAGGTCTCCTCCATGTGGTTTATGGCACAGATCCCAAAGCAGGAGGCAAGTCCCTGTGGAAGGCAGAACAAACACACCAGCAGGAAGCTGTTAATGCCCAGCCCCAGCTGACACTCCAAGAGCCAGTTCCATTCCCAGCACCACTGGTTCCATGCCCAGCACCACTGGTTCCATGCCCAGCTGCAGCAATGCTGGCACCAGCATCACCCTGGGGGACAGCGGGGACAATAGCGCTGTCCCTGCCTGGGTGACAGGTTGGGACACAGCTCCAGGCAGCACAGAGGCCATGGGGACCCTGCAGCACACACAGCACAGGGGCCATGGGGACCCTGCCGCCACCAAGGGGCGGGGGGGACCCCGCAGC